CTAGAAATGGCCCTGTTTTTGTTCCATTTACTCTTTGCAAGTGATGCTCTCTTCTTTTGCAAGGCTGAGGTGGGTCAAGCACATGTGCTCATGACTTTGCTAGAAAGATACAGACTATTCACTGGCCAAAGAGTTAATCTACAAAAATCATCAGCATTTTTCAGTAAAAATACTCCTTCTACTGTCAGGAATCAGATTTGCTCAGCAATGAATGGGATTCAGCACCACAACTCTACCAGGTACTTAGGCCTCCCACTGGGATTGATAGAGCCAAATTAGAGGTTTTTTCTTATGTTATTGCCACTGTCAAAGCCAAACTCTGGAGCTGAAAAACAAGATGATCTCAATAGTGGTAAGGAAGTTTTACCAAAGGCTGTCAGCAATGCATTGCCAGTTTTTGCCATGTCCTTCTTTAGGCTACCTGTGTCTATTTGCATAACTATCTCTAGTATCAGTGTTCAACATTGGTGGAGCAAAGGGGAATTTCATGAGAAAGGGATACATTGGAAAGCTTGGAAGTTGTTCACCTTACCAAAGGCAGATGATGGAATTGGTTTTAAAGATATCAGCTCCTGTAACCAGGCTCTCATATGTAAACAGCTTTGGAGAATTCTCTCAGCCTGACCTTCTTGTGAGTAAAGTGCTCAAAGACAGGTACTTTCCCTCATGTTTTATTTTTTAGGCTAAAAAATCTCAGAACAGCTCTTGGCTTTGGTACACTTGGTTACATTGTCTCCCGATTTTAGCTCAAGGTTTCAGAACAGAAATCCATAATGGTGCAGCCACCAAGATCAGTGATATTAACTGGATTCCTTGCTTACCCCTTGCTAAGCCATCTCTGCTGGAAATAGCTCAAGGTCACATTACTTGGGTTAAAGAATTACTTCAAGAGAATGGACTAGCTTGGAACTCATGGATGGTTAGGAATCTTTTTAATGAGCAAGATAGCAAGGCTATCGCAGCATAAAGACCTCAATCCTTTCAAAAATGACAGGATCTTCTGGTGCTTGGAGAAGAAAGGGCATTTCTCAGTCTCTTCCACCTATGCTCATTTGATCAGTCAGAAAAGGCTTGAACTTGACATTCCTGACAACAGCAGCAACGCTCATATTCTCAAAAATAGCCAGAATCAAAACTTGGAGCTTGCCAGTGAAAGAGACTATTAAACACTTCTTATGGAAATGCATTTATGGATCTCTACCTGTTAATTCTAATTTGGTCAAGAGAAAGATGGATGTTGATGTCATTTGCCAACTTTGTGGAGAGGCCCCAGAAACTATTGAGCACACCTTTTTTCAATGTCATAGAGCCCAGATGATGTGGAAGCTCAGTCCTTTGAACTGGGATGGAGTGTGCAATGAAGGTTGTAAGTTCAAAACCTGGTGGAGTCACATGTGCACAATCAAAACCTCTCTTGTTGCTGAAGATAGGATTCAACTCACAACCTACCTTCTATGGTGGTTGTGGAAATCTAGGAACCTGTGGATGTTTGAGAAGATCAAAAGGCCCATCCAATTGGTGATCTCTAAGGCTCATCAAGCTTGGTTGGAATTCAAACGGGTGAAAAAGTAGTTGGTCATGGTCAGGAGTAGTCTGTAACTCAGTATTTTAGTATGTTCTGTTTTTTATTTGTTTCTTCTCTTATTTCTATACTGCATGTTCTATGATTGTATGTGAGTCATGAGACGGTGCCTAGTGGTAGACGATCTCCAACCTTGTACTAGGTAGACTCACTTTAGCCTAATCGATGGGCCGTGACCGTTGATGTTGAACCTCGGCACGACTGTACTCCCGCTGACGAGTCTGGGTTCTACCCCTGGCAGCTTATAATAGGTGTGCACATGAGTATAGTGATGAGTAGGAGTGTGGTGTGTTATGTCAATTGACTATGAACAAGCATATTACCCTAGTATAGGTATCATATCAATATTATATGCATAGTAGTGAATACCTCAATTTCATTTGTGCTCACTCCCACCTGCTTTTCATGGATGCAGATTAAGCAGTTGATGAGCATAACGAGAATAAAGACGAGTGGATGGTCGTTTAATTATTGCTTTTTATTGCTTCCGCATTCTATGATCTTTATGTTGAGATTATTAGACACCGTTGAACTATGAGATTGTTATTTTTCCTATGCGTTTTGAGAATGGTTGAACTGCTTGAACCATGTGGGTTATTTATCAGTTTTGGATTATGTTGACAATCCTATTTGACTCAATATGTTGAAATCTAGTCTTCGAACTTGAATTGTATTGGTTATTCTCGTTCCCTTTTTGTTGATTATGTGTGCGATGTTCTTGAGTAGCGCCAAATGTTTTATAAATCGATAAATAGTTTTCGAAATTTTAAAACGGGATTTTTGGATAAGTATGGAATTGTCTTAAAAATCTTTGGGGCGTTACATTTAATATACTTATAACTCATTAAATTAACTATAATAATTAGATCAAGTGGAAAAATGCATATGAAAATTTGAAAATGGGATGAAAATATGAATAACATTTTAAAACTTTGCTAACATATATCAATTGAGTTATAACTGTTTGATTTATTTAATAAAATACTGACAAAGAATGGTCTTTTTCAACAAGATAAGACGACAAAATTGTAAACTGTCACATATAATTATTCTTCTAAAATATTAAATTTAATTTTGTTGTGCATATTTTTCAACCTTCCACAAACAAAAAAGATTTTAAATAAGCAAGATCAGCTTAAATAATGAAGTTTTGTCAACACAAATTTTCTGCAATCTTTTTCACCATGCATTTTAAATGTTATTATTTTCAAAATTAAATTTCTACTTTTTTTTTAATCGTTAAATAAATTTGTATTGATCAAAACTGGAAGTCCAACAACCGAAACGGCTATCAAGTCGAAGCGGGTAGCCACATGTCGGCTCCTCACTCGAAAATACCAAAACCGAGGGCTTACCCACAAGCCGGGAGCTCGCTCGAATTAGAAAATCTATAAAATCCAACAAAATGGCGGCAGGGGAATGCGCGCGTGACATATCATAGGAAGCGCCGCTAGGCAATGGAAGCGACGCTACTGGCTACGTGGCGGGATATGGTGTGACAGGCGCTAGCGGCGCTAGCTTGTAGGTAGCGCCGCTAAGTCGATGGAAGCGCCGCTAGCAAGGTAGCGCTGCAGGCCACCTTTCCTCTGTTTAGCAGGTAGCGGCGCTAATAGCATGGAAGCGGCGCTAGGGTCTCCTTAGTGGCGCTAAGGCCCCTTAGCGCCGCTCAGCCTGGGCAGCAAAAAAAATTTTGCATCCTTCCAAATTCCAGAGACCAGGCAATCAACACATTCTCCCGGGTGCTCGGCCACCCATCAATCTCAACTCTCAATATCAAAACATCAATGACCAAGATTTTGCCTCTCAAGTTCGGTAAGCACATTAGGGTAGAGAGCAAATATAGTGCGATAGACATGGGTTTTTACCTTCCGTATCACAAGGCTTGGAGGTTGGTAATCATTTTCGAAAACCAATCTATTCCTCGCGTTCCAAATGAAGTAGATGGTGGCCGCTAGTGCCGCTTTCTTCAATTTGGATCTCCAACTAGACCCTCTCGCCTCCTTCTTAGTCCATTTGAGAGCGCCTTTAAGGGTCGATGGTTTATGTCGAAGACTAACCCAAGTACGAATTTCATCCCAAATCTCTGAGCTAAAAGAGCACTCAAAGAATAGGTGACTCGAGGATTCATTCGCGACTCCGCATAGAGGGCATATCGGGTCTTCATCAAGGAATTCAAGACGGTCTTTTCTCCGGAGTCGATTAAGGGTTCCAAGACATAGAATGAAGGAGTGTTTAGGGGTATTGCATGCCCCCCAAACCACTCCACTCCAAGGCCTCATGGTTCCTCTAGGACGAAGGTAGTCGTAGCATTTACTAGCCCCATCTTGTCTATATCGGGAGTTCCAACCTTGAAGGAGGCTCTCCGCTTCTCGTGCACTTCCCACTCGTTCAACCAAGCCTTGTCGAATTTCGAAAAGGGACTTGAAGAGAGGCGAGTCCGTCGGTCTAACTTCCATATCCCAAATGGAGTTCCCCTTCAAATAAATGTTGTGGATCCATTTTTGCCACAATGTGTCCTTCTTTGCTTGCATATTTCAAAGTGTCCGGGTGAGCAACGCTTGGTTCCACGTGTTCAAGTCCTAAGCCCCAATCCACATTCCGAGCGCGGAACACAAAGGCTATCCCAAGCCACGGGAGTGTTTTTCGATCCCCAAAGGAACCTTCGACATAGTTGGGTGATTTTGGTTCTAATTATGTCGGGCAAGTGGAAGATCCCCATCCAAAAGCACACAATACCTTGGATCACCGAGCGTAGGAGTTCCAATCTTCCGGCATATGAGAGTGTATGCCCATTCCAGCGGTTAAGCTGCCCTTCAATTTGCTCAATCATAACATCAAAAAGCCTAGCCGTGATACGGTCCGTGGTGAGGGGGACACCTAGGTATCGAAAGGGCATTGAGCCGCACCGTAAGTTGGTGTTGTCAAGGATTGTAGCCCGACTATTGTCCTTGACACCGGCCAGGTAAATATTGG